TTATGCTGTAAATGTTTTCTTGTGATATTTTAACTGTGATAGTCGGTCTAAGAGCTCTACAGAGCTCATGTTTCTTGTTATGTATTGTATACAATGCCGACTTTAAATAAAATTTACTTACTTACTTACTTACTTAGGGGTTTGTAATCATATATATAGCATGTTAATGAAGACAATAGTCAATTGTCACATTTGTTACTTCAGTATATAAACAGTGTCACCCCTTGGGTAAAATATTTTTTTTTGATATGGTCAAAAACAGTAAAGGGAAAGACACCTCCCGTCGTTTTTGTGTTAATCCTGTTATTTTAAAATCACACTTTAAATTGTATTTTATAAAATTACTTTGGTATAAATAATTTATTTCTTTCACATATTTTTATAACGTATTTCATTTAAAAAGTATATATATCTTTCCCAATTTATCTTTTTAAGTTATTGTTAACAGTACCGTCATTTAAACGCATTCACTAAAATTCACAATGTTTAATGGAAAAGATTGTTTTAATAAAAAAAAACTCTCCACTAGGCCCTAAATATCCAATTGTCAAAGGTTATCAGAGAAAAACTGCATATTATGACCATTTAATTTATGAAATTCACATTCATATCGCTTACAGATAATTATATATAAGGTATTTAAAATTATTTTTACATAATTATTATGTTATAAAGCTTGACACTAAAATGTATCATTTCTTCATCTTTTTTTATTATTTTTTTTTTTATTATTATTTGTCCGTAATCTTTTCATCTCCAAACATTCGGATGGCCTCAGCTGACTACATCTTATAAAATTCACAATTTTTCGGTACTTTCCGACAAGCGGATAAACCACGAGGTTGTTTAGCCTGGTTCCCTGTCCCTATTTTGCTTCGTACACTCCGCGTCACTGTAAGGATGAGCCAGTGGACCAGGTTAGAGGTTGTTTCACCGACCTCCGACGGAAGGACCCGAATGGTTTTCCCGCCGCACGTGCAGCGTCAGATTAATTCCCGCGCTCAGATCAGTGAAACGAATGATGGCCAGAAATATGCTAAGAACAAAAGTCTACATTTTGACAGAAAAGATTAGGCGGAAAAACGACCGGGGCTCTTTCCTAATCACCATGGCCTATGTAGACCTTGAGAAATCCGTCAAACAAATTACATTACCACAGCTGAAGCACTTTGAAAACAGCCTTCAAAAAGGAAAATACTATTTGTGCTCTAATGTAGCAGCCATCGGCGACACTGTCCGCCTTACAGAATCCTCAAAGGTAAGAACATTCTACACTTTATTCCAAGATAGAAATGCCTATAATTTTACTTATCATTTATGCTACCAACAGTTCAGGGCCCCAATATCTTGGTCTTTTATTTCTTGTGAAAGACAGAAAGAGGGATGAGAAGGGAAGAGGTATTTATTACTCTTACAGTTTACAGTTGACATACACTAAAGTCGCCAATATTACAGGTCACGTCTAGATGTTTCATTGCAAAGTTCTTCAATCCTGCTTTTATCACAAGGGGATACAGTTTAAGCTTTATTGTCCCCTAAAAATTTTGTTTTTAAAAAGTTATGAAATTAACATTAACAATAGTTGAGAAGATGAATATGATAAATCGTTAAAGAATATGAAATAAAGGAGAGGCTTTCTGGAAATATGACGTCATTTGGTACGTTTCTAAGTTTAATGCAGAAAAGCACGTTTCTTTCCTAATTTTCCTTTTAAAAATTGTCTCCCACTGTCGCCCACTTTCATTTTTAGCTCACCTGAGCTGAAAGCTCGGGTGAGCTTTTCTGATCAACCGTTGTCCGTCTGTCTGTAAACTTTTTACACTTTCAACTTCTTCTCTAGAACCACTGGGCCAATTTTAATCAAACTTGGTGCAAATCATCCTTGGGTGAAGGGAAATTTAAATGGTTTAAACCAAGGGCCAAGACCCCTTCCAACGGGAGATAATCAAGAAAATACAAAAATACGGTGGGGTCATTAAAAAATCTTCTCCTCAAGAACCACTGGGCCAGAAAAGCTGAAACTTGTGTGGAAGCATCCTTAGGTAGTGTAGATATTAAATTGTTAAAATTATGACCCCCGGGGGTAGGGCGGGGCTTTAATAGGGAATCCAAGTTTTACATAGAAATATATAGAACAAATCTTTAAAAATCTTCTTAGAAAACACTGGGCCAGGGAAGCTGAAACTGATATGGAAGCATCCTTGGGTAGTGTAGATATTAATTTGTTAAAATCATGAACCCCGGGGGTAGGGCAGGGCCACAATAGGGAATCCAAGTTTTACATAGAAATATATATAGAACAAAAAGATCTGCATCAGCTAAGTTACTCAGGTGAGCGATGTGGCCCATTGGCCTCTTGCTGGATATATAAAATGCTATAAACAGGTCCAGGAAAATCACTATATTTAGCTATATAGGTATATCTACCTATATAGCTTTATTTACCTATAAAATATTGCTATATTTAGCTATTTTGGAATAACTTTCAGTTTTATGAAAAGCAGACAAAAAGTCGCACAATGAGTCAGTATTAGTTTTCAACATATATATCAAAATCTTTCTGAAAGAAAATTCCACTGAAAATTAATGTCTTGTGCAATTTTTAGGTCACCTGAGTAACTCGGATGACCTATTGCCATCTGTTTTCGTCCATCGTTGTGTGTTAACATTTGAACATTTTCAGCTTCTTCTCTGATACCACTGAACCATTTTCTACCAAATTTGGTATGCAGCATCTATGGATGAAGGGGAACAAATATTGTGAATTTCATGGTCCCCGTCCCCCTGGGGCCTGAGGGGTGGGGCCAAACCTACTAAAATTATTGCAATCTTAAAAAATCTTCTTCTTTACTCCCTGACATCAAGCAGACAAACTGTTAGCATGAATGTAATAAGCAATGAGTCCTCTACCTAAATTGTGAAATTTATGGCCCCAGGGTCAGAGGTTCTAGTGCTAGGGCGGGACTATATATATTATATAGTGAAAATGCATTATTTCTTTGAAAATCATCTTCTCTGCTTCTGGGTATTAGATAGTTATGATGAGCAAGAATGCCTCTTCCACATTTGTTAATTTTATGGCCCCAGGGTTAAGGGTTCTAGTGTTAGGGCGGGGCTCTATAGATTATATATAATGAAAATGCATTTATTCTTTGAAAATCTTCTTGTCTGCTTCTTGGTTTTAAATAAACTAAGTACATAGTTATGATGAAAAAGAGTGCCTCTTCCAGATTTGTGAATTTTATGGCACCAGGTTCAGGGGTTCTAGTGTTGGGGTGGGGCTCTATAGATTATATGTAATGAAAATGCATTTATTCTTTGAAAATCTTCTCAGCTTCTGGGTTTTAAATAAACTAACTAGGTACATAGTTATAATGAGCAAGAGTGCCTCTTCCAGATTTGTGAATTTAATGGCCCCTGGGTCAGGGATTCTAGTGTTAGGGCGGCGCTATATAGATTATATAGTGAAAATGCATTTATTCTTTTAAAATCTTCCTCTCTGTTTCTGAGTATTAAATAAACTAAAATAATTAAGCATAAAGTTATGATGAGCAAGAGTGCCTTTTCCAAAATTGTAAATTTATAGCCCTAGGGTCAGGAGTTCCAGTGTTAGGGCGCGGCTCTATAGATTATATAGTGAAAATGCATTTTTTCTTTAAAAATCTTCTTCTCTGCTTCTGGGTTTGAAATAAACTAACTGAATACATAGTTATGATGAGCAAGAGTGCCTCATCCAGATTTGTTAATTTTATGGCCCCAGGGTTAAGGGTTCTAGTGTTAGGGCGGGGCTCTATAGATTATATATAATGAAAATGCATTTATTCTTTGAAAATCTTCTTGTCTGCTTCTTGGTTTTAAATAAACTAAGTACATAGTTATGATGAAAAAGAGTGCCTCTTCCAGATTTTTGAATTTTATGGCACCAGGTTCAGGGGTTCTAGTGTTGGGGTGGGGCTCTATAGATTATATATAATGAAAATGCATTTATTCTTTGAAAATCTTCTTCTCTGTTTCTGAGTATTAAATAAAATAATTGAGCACATGGTTATGATGAGCAAGAGTGCCTTTTCCAAAATTGTAAATTTTATAGTCCCAGGGTCAGGGGGTGTTAGGACGGCGCTCTATAGATTATATAGTGAAAATGCATTTATTCTTTGAAAATCTTCTTCTCTGCTTCTGGGTTTTAAATAAATTAGCTAAGTACATGGTTATAATGAGAAAGAGTGCCTCTTCCAGATTTGTGAATTTTTATGGCCCCGGTGTCAGGGGTTCTGGTGTTAGGGCGAGGCTCTATAAATTATATAGTGAAAATGCATTTATTCTTTGAAAATCCTTTCTTTGCTTCTGGGTTTTAAATAAATTAGCTAAGAACATAGTTAAAATGAGAAAGAGTGTTTCTTCAAGATTTGTGAATTTTATGGCCCCAGGGTCAGGGGTTCTGGTGTTAGGGTGAGGCTCTATAAATTATATAGTCAAAATGCATTTATTCTCTGAAAATCTTTTTCTCTGCTTCTGAGTATTAAATAAACTAAATAAGTACACTGTAATGATGAAAAAGAGTGCCTCTTCCAGATTTGTGAATTTTATGGCCCTAGGGTCAAGGGTTCTAGTGTAAAGGCGGGCTCTATTGATTATATAGTGAAAATGCATTTATTCTTTGAAAATCTTCTCTGCTTCTGAGTATTAAATAAACTAATTAAGCACATTGTTATGATAAGCAAAAGTTCCTTTTCAAAAATTGTGACTTTTATTGCCCAAGAATCAGGGGTTCAGGTGTTAAGGCTCTTTTGATTATTCAGTAAAAAAAACATTAATTCTTAGAAAATATTTTCCTTTGCTTTTGGGTTTATGCTAATGATCCAAGTATATATATATTAATGATGAAGAAAGGTGCATCTAGCAAAATGATTATTTTTTATGCCCCCCCCCCTCCTGGGTCAGGGGTTGGTAGGTGGGAGTTACATGGTCTGAAAACAAATTAATGCTTTGAAATGCCCAAATTTTGCATGTACACTAAAGTTAATGCAAGCTATATATTATATAAAAAGAAAGAGTTTCACTATTGTAGTTTTCACACAATAAAACTATAGTCACCCCCCTTTAAATACTTGATAACAACCCTAATCTTCTTTATTTGTGTCACTACAAGACATTTTATTATAACCCCCACAAACAAAGTTTGGGGGGTATATAGGAATCACCTTGTCCGTCTGTCTGTGCAATGGTGTCCGGTCCATATTTTTCTTAGAGGGACATTACAATCTACTACTCCACACTAAGATTGCTCATGACCCAAGGGTGTGTCATGACCTTGACCCAAGGTCATTTGGGCAAGTTCAAGGTCACTGGAAGAAAAATTTCATAATTCGTGTCTGGTACATATCTTTCTTATGGATAAACTTGGTAAATTCTCATTTCACACAAAGATTGCCCATGAAACCCTATTTTGTGTCATGACCTTGACCCAAGATCATTTGGGGAAGTTCAAGGTCACTGGAAGAAAAATTTCATAATTCGTGTCTGATCCATATCTTTCTTATGGATAAACATGGTAGGTTCTCATTTCACACAAAGATTGCCCATGACCCAATTGTGTGTCATGACCTTGACCCAAGGTCATTTGGGGAAGTTCAAGATCACTGTTAGAAAAATTTCATAATTTGTGTTTGATACATATCTATTATGGAAAATATTACTTCTAAAAAATCCAGCGGGGGTATTTTGTCCAGTTTGGACAGTTCTTGTTGTATCATAATAGATTTAGACAAGTAGATCGAAATATCTGAGTACCTTAACAAAGCACCTGCTCTACTAAATATTGCTGAAATCTGAACAAAATTGACATGTTTTAAGGTTTTTGAAACATCTCCATTCGAAATGAACCAATCTGTCATTGACACATACCTCAACCCACCACAAGAAACAGTCGAGGAAATTCTCCAATCACCACAAAAAAGAATGGTTTCAGTCAGAGGTATTTTACGAAAAGTAAGCATAAATTTATTTCTTTCTTTTATATAAGGCTCAAGTGAACTTTTCTGATCACATTTGTCCGTTGTCTGTCCGTCTGTATACTTTTTAGCTCATCTGAGCTGAAGGCTCAAGTGAGCTATTCTGATCACATTTGTCCGTTGTCTGTCCGTCTGTATACTTTTTAGCTCATCTGAGCTGAAGGCTCAAGTGAGCTATTCTGATCACATTTTGTTTGGCGTCCTTCTGTCCGTCTGTCTGTAAACTTTTAACATTTTAGACTTCTTCTCAAGAACCGCAGGGCCAATTTCAACCAAACTTGCCACAAAGCATCCCTGGGTAAAAGGGATTCAAGTTTGTTCAAATGAAGGGCCACACCCTTTTCCAAGGGGAGATAATTATGAATTAGAGAAAAATTAATGGCATTTTTAAAAAATCTTCTTCCCAAAAACCACTGAGCCAGGAAAGATGAAACTCACATGGAATCATCCTCAGGTAGTGTAGATTCAAGTTTGTTCAAATCATGACCCCCGGGGCTAGGGTGGGGCCAAAATGGCCGACTCAAGTTTTACATAGGAATATATAGGAAAAATCTTTAAAAATCTTCTTTTCAAGAACCACTGGGCCAGGAAAGATGAAACTTATGTGGAATCATCTTCAGGTAGTGTAAATTCAAGTTTGTTCAAATCATGACCCCTGGGCTAGGGTGGGGCCAAAATGGCCGACCCAAGTTTTACATAGGAATATATAGGAAAAATCTTTAAAAATCTTCTTCTCAAGAACCGCTGGGCCAGGAAAAATGAAACTCATGTGGAATCATCCTCAGGTAGTGTTGATTCAAGTTTGTTCAAACCATGACCCCCGGGGCTAGGGTTGGGCAAAAATAGCCGACCAAAGTTTATATAGGGATTTATAGGGAAACCTTTAAAATCATCTTTACAAGTACTTCAAACCTATGATTGGTGATATTAATATGGAATCATCTTCAGGTAGTGTAGATTCAAGTTTGTTCAAATCATGAACCCCTGGGGGGTTAAAATTCAATCCCCCCCCCCAGTAAACTTTCATTTCTGATCTGATATGTGCTTTTTCGTAGCCAATGTGCTCAGGTGAGCACTGTGGTCCCTGGGCCTCTTGTCACATTTACTTCTCCTCAAGAACCACTGGGCCAATTTTGACCAAACTTGGTACAAAGCATCCTTGGGTGAAGGGCAATTTAAATTGTTAAAATGAAGGGACATATCCCCTCGCAAGGGGAGAAAATCAAGGAAAGACAAAAATAGGGTTGGGTCATTAAAAAATCATCTTCTCAAGAAACACTGGCCCAGAAAAGCTGAAACTTATGTGGAAGCATCCTGGTATATTATAGATTCTAAATTATTCACATCATGACCCCCATGGGAAGGGCGGGCCCACAATGGGGAATCAGTTTTATATAGAAATATATAGGAAAAATCTTTGAAAATCTTCTTCTCTAGAACCACTGGGCCAGAAAAGCTGAAACTTATGTGGAAGCATCCTGGTATAGTTTACATTCCTAATTGTTCACATCATGACCCCCGGGGGAAGGGCAGGGCCACAATTGGGTATCAAAATTTTACATGGAAATATATTGGAAAAATCTTTAAAAATCTTCTTCTCAAGAACTGCTGGGCCAGGAAAGCTGAAACTTATGTGGAAGCATCCTGGTATAATGTTGATTCTAAATTGTTGAAATAATGACCCCCAGGGGAAGGGCGGGGCCACAATGGGGAATCAAAGTTTTATATTGAAATATAAAGGAAAAATCTTTGAAAATCTTCTTCTCAAGAACCACTGGGCCAGAAAAAGTGAAACTTATGTGGAAGCATTCTGGGGTAGTGTAAATTCTAAATTGTAGGAATCATGACCCCTGGGGGAAGGGCGGGGCCATTGTAGGGAATCAAAGTTTTACGTAGAAATATATAAGAAAGATCTTTGAAAATCTTCTTCTCAGGAACCACTGGGCAAAAAAAGCTCAAACATATGTGCCCATGGAAGGATCATTGGGTAGTATAAATTTCAAAATGTCTAAATTATGATCAGTGGGGTAGGGTGGGGATGCATTATGTATAACAAGAGGGAAATCCGGTAAAGAACAGAATGGTCAAAGCTTCTCAGGTGAGCGATGTGGCCCATGGGCCTCTTGTTATAGATACTTGTGAACATTCTTTTTAGAAAACATGATCATAATGATTATAATGTACAGTAATAATGTACAAAGATCACGTACATTTTATATTTTTACAATTAAATTGTATAACATATTTCTAATATACAAAGTATTTGTTCAAGTCATCACAGATCATAGAATCGCCCAATAGTAAGAGGAAGGAGATAACAATAGAGTCGATGGAAGGTACTTCCCGAGTAGTTTGTAAATTGTGGGGAGACCATGCCGACAAGTGTCTGCCGCAGAATGATGAAGTCGTGACTGTCTGCAACGTAGAAGTTGCAACATTTAAAGATATAATTTCACTAAATTCAACCCTGCTTACTTCCATAAAGGTATGAACTGAAATTCTTGTTCTCTTAACATTTACATTTTTAGGTCACCTGAGTAAAGTTACATCACCTGAGTAAACTCAGGTGACCTATTCCTATCCATTTTCATCCGTCAGCGTACAGTAATGTTTGAACATTTTGAGCTTCTTTTCTGAAGCCAGTAAACCAATTTCAACCAAATTTGGCATAAAGCATGCATGTAAAACAAAAATTGTTAATTTCATGATCCCTGTCGCCTGCAGGATGGAACCAAAACCACTCAAATTAGTGCAATCTTGAACAAGATGTGTTTGGAAAACACTATTCATCCATCTTCAACACAATTTAAAAAAAAAAAACACTTTTAGCATATGGGCCATAGTCAAGGGCACAAGATCACAGATCTTGATGTCATTCAAAAGAACTTGATTAGTAAAATATGCATACCAAATATGAAGTCTCTATCTCTCATTGTTCAAAAGTTATGCTGAAGATTCAAAACAGATATTTTTAGCATATAGGACACTGTCAAGGTCACAAGGTCATTGACCGTAGTGTTGTATGAAACGACTTAATCAGTGGCATATGCATACCAAATTTAAAGTCTCTATCTTTTATGGTTCATAAGAAAAGGTGAAAGTTAAATTCACAGAAAAAAAATATTTTTAGTATATCGGTCAAGGTCACAGAGTCATTGCTCTTGATGTCATTTGAAAGAGCTTAATTAATAATTTTTTTCTTCCTTTATTTTAATAACATACCAGTTGAGCTAAAGACTTAACACACACTTCTGGTTTATTCATTCTTTTGAAACCTTGAAAAGTGGCCACATGTGTAGCCAATTTCTTGTTCTCAAACAAGTCATCTCTTAAATCAGGTTTGACTGTAGTGAAAATGCATGCTCCTGTCTATTTTACAAATAGAAAAAATAATGTAAAACTTGCAGATCTATAAGAAAAAAAATACATTCAAGTGAGTCTTTTCAAGCAAAGGATTAAGTTGCATGAACTTTCCACTTTAATGCTTTAATTAAAAATCATTACAACAATTTTTCTATCATAGGAATCCGAAGAGAACACCATAGTCGAAGGAAAAGTCGAAGGGGTAGATTTTAGAGAGTAAGTCATTAAATTTTATTCTTCTTCACTGACTACAGCTGAAAGATTACTTGACATTTTGTGATCACATATCCTATTATTTTTAGGTCACCTGAGCCGAAGGCTCAAGTGAGGTTTTCTGATCACATTTTGTCCAGTGTCCATCTGTCTGTCTGTCCGTCTGTAAACTTTTCACATTTTCGACTTTTTCTCAAGAATCACTAGGCCAATTTCAACCAAAATTGCCACAAAGTATCATTGGGTGAAGGAAATTCAAGTTTGATCAAATGAAGATAATTGGCAATTAAGGTCCCAAAATGGCCGACCAAAGTTTCATATAGGAAATATAGGAAAAGTTTTTTTAAAATCTTGTCTAGAATAGCATAGTCATTATTCATCATATTTACATAGAAGCATCCTCAGCTGGTGTAGATTCAAGTTTGTTCAAATCACCGCTTAATGTTTTTTCAAATCAAAGCTTAATGACCAACATTCAGTAAAAACATTCCACAAATTTTGCTTCTTCTAATATTTTGTCATCAGTTTAACTCTGGTTTTGAATAAACATGCATATATGTAGGCTCTTTATGAAAGCACATTAGCTTTAATTTCTCATAACTATCTTTGAAAGTTGAAATTGCGATTATTTGTCTTTCTGAGTAACAATCATTATATTAGTCACAGGATCCCAAATTACCTCGATCACATGGTCATCATATTACTTACCAATGCAGCATGAGACTGATATTATGCTAAAGTCATAGGTGCAGCTTACTAATTTTAAATTGTTTAAATGAAATGCATATTTTTGAAATCAAAATGATGTTTTTGTCGATTTCCATAAGATACTCTGCTCTCATTTCTGTTACATATTTCTATAATAACACTAACCTGGTTCCCCTAACCAGTTTACAAATGCATTTTACAAGAACTAATTAATAGTTGTACATACAACTAGTTTGTTTTGCTTAATTCTTTGCAAGCGTGTCTTGTTTTGGCATTGGGTTACGAATAGAAATTAATGCAGCTTTGTGGATATTGGACACCTGAGCTTACAATAAGGCCACAATAACTTAATTTGTTATAGTTTAGGGTCCTCCACACACCCACAGCTTATGTTCGCATATTATTGAGCATTACTTTTAACAAACATATCAACCTTTAAAAACTGTCCAGGGATTAAGATATAATTTATACTGATTTTTTAAAATAATTATTTCACAAGTTTCAAGAAATTTTTCCCGAGGCGTTTTCATACCTAGCAAAAAAAATTTGCCTTACCCTTTCGTATATTTTTAAGCTCACAGAATAACCATAAAAACTCAATTTTATCGATCAACACATTTTTTACAGAAATTTATTTTATTTATAAGAAGTACATAAAACTCTTTTTCTTTGAAATACATCACGAGAAAAATCAACAAGGACTCCTTTTGAAGAGAAGAAACATTAATGAATTAGATTACATAAAAAAATTGAATTAAAATTAAATGCACTGATGTAGAAAAAACATTTTCAAAATCTCTGGTATCAAAGTTCCTTTTTGGAGTTATCTTTCCTGTTGCTCGGGACTCAAAAACTTTGGCAAGTCTCCGCTTACGTCACCATACTATTATAATTTAGTAATATACTAGCCACTGAACTGGACAAAAATAAAAGAGAAAAACTATAAACGCACACTATTTTATCAATATTTATAAACACACAATGAGATAATGTATTATTGAAACGTACAAATTAGTGTGCCGAAATTTCAACATGTTCAACTACACAGTATCAAAAACAGACTCGCTTGATTAGCCTGAAAGTGTAAATAACCTATACTTTTCTCGTCATACACATCGGTACCTGTTGTCTAGGAATTATTATCTTTATAATAATAATCCAAGACGTCTATTGTTCTTTTATTGAAAAAAAAAATACCGCAATCCTTTTCATCGGTCACTCCGTGATCATCATGCCATGTGTTTATTGTTTACAAACAGTGGAAGGACAATTTGTTCATGTATTTTCTCAATAAAATCGGAAGTAAAAGTATTTTTTCTCTATATACGTCACAGGTCACATGGTGTTGAGGACCCTTAAATAAAGAAATTTGAAAAAAAAATTCTTAAACTAGCCATAGTGACTCAAAGATCATCTTTTTTTTCATCTAGGGACTTCAGCTATCTCATCATTGACACAAAAACTTATAAAGTAAAAACAACGGAACTGGAAAGAATATTTCCCAGAGGGTTCGAACAAGACATACATATCAAAGGAAGCGCTCATGGATTTACCATTGTTGAACTGTAAAGTTATTTATATAACTATATATATAATCATGATCTCAAAAACTCTCATTAAAATAATTATATAATCATGATCTCAAAATCTCTCATTAAAATAATTGCAAACATTATCAATAATGCAAAATTTCAACTTTTTACTTTTAATATATCTAGTATTACAGATTGTACCTCTTCAACAAATATAATTATTTGGAAAAAAATTTCTTCGGTATTATCAATGAGGTCAAAAATTTATATATTACAACATTGCAAATACTATCAATATAAAGTATATCAAAACATTTTTACTATTAATCCATTTTTAATGAAACTCTTGAAGAAATAGATCTTCACAATATTTTTAAAGTACTTTCATGCAACTTTAATTTTCATTCATAATTCTTCATTTTTCCAGAGAAAAGATCAACCCAGCAAAGAAACCTAAGAGAGATTAAACTTTTCAAGAAAAGTACTTCTTTTGAACAATTTGAACAACGCCCATTTCATTTCAGCTATAATTCAAAGCTCAAATAAGCTTTTCTAATCATAATTTGGTCGTCTGTCTAGCTGTCCGTCTGTCTGTAAACATTTCATATTTTTAACTTCTTTTCAAGAACCACTGGACCAATTTCAATAAAACTAAACACAAAGCATCCTTGACCACAGAAGACTCAACTACTATCTTCATATGAAAGGCCATGTATGACCTCTTATAAAGGGAAATAATGAAGACATAATTAAAATTTTGTGGCATGTTTGTAAATCTCCTCATCAAGAACCACAGAGTTGGGAAAATATAAAACTAATCTGGAAACATCTTCAAGTATTGCACATTACAAAATTTGATTTTTAAATTATGACCCCCAGATATAGCCTGAGGCCACCAGATATGATCAAAGTTTAACATACGAATATATAAGAAAAAACTTTAAAAAATCTTCTTAAAGACAACAAATCCATGATCTTTGACATCTTATATGTATGCATCCTCAGGTAGTCATTTAATTAGTTCAAATCATTAAATGTCCCCTCATGAAAGGGTGCTTTTCAAATGAAAATCATATTTTTAGTACAAATATTTATAGGAAAAAATTGAAAATCTCTCAAGAATAACAAAGCCAAAATTGCTCATATTTACAAAAAAAAAAAAAGTTGTGTTATTATATTTGTATAAATCATGACCCCAAGGGTTAAGGTAATTAAACAGTGGACAATCAAATTTAATAAACGAATATATATTAAACAAATATTTCCTTCTGAAACAGCTTCAAAAACATGCCATTGGAAATATACATATCAAAACATACACAACGCCGTTCTTAAAGAAATGTTTGTTTAGAATTGCCACCTGGGGGGTTTCAGACCCATGAGGGAGGGAGGTTTTTTTTTTTTTTTTAATTGAAGCTAAATGATTAAAAAATCTTGGTGAACAGTAAAGATTTTCAATAATTTTCTTTCTTTTATTTATTGATATGTTTTGTTTTGTTTTGAAAAATTATATATAGCACTACACAGAATGGTACTCATATATCAATCTAATTCAGATGTTAGATCTGAACATTTATTAGAATTCACCTTAAACGTCAAACTTCTATTTTATTTAAAAAATCATTTTTTAAACAATTTTATCAGTGTATTTCATAGCATTGCTCTTGTTTAACATTACATTTCAAAGACTAGCTTGTGAGTTGTCATACTGTCAGATATTTTTCATTTCTTATCCTTGCAATTTTCTAACTGGGATCTGAACAATCTTTTTTATTTCAACATAAGGGACTTAGCCTCTCAAGTTCAATGTTGAATCTATTGAGATATTCAATACCAAACAAAGTATAATTTTATTTTGGCCCAAGTATTGTAGATTCAAATTTGTTTACAACATTACCAAATGATGGAGAATGGGGAAACAATGCTGAGTCAAGGCTTTACATATAACAATAAAGGATTTTTTTTATAAGTTTTCTCAACAACATAATCATGATTAGTGATCTTTTTATGAAAACATCCACACATAATTCTGTCAACATGTTTTCAAATTTTAATTCCTAGGCTTCAAACTTTTATTTAGAAAACCCATAGCACATCAACACATTAACATCTATATTAAACCATTGTCATTTAGTGTAGATTCAAGTTAATTCATATAACCCCCCACCCCCTTAAGTTGTATGTTTGGACGTTTTAGCCACACTGGATTTCATTTTGCTTTCTTCTTGGCCGTGACATGTATTACTAACAGGTGAGCAATGTCACTCATGGTCGCACCACTTCTTTATTGCTGACCTTTTTCTTGCAGAAGTGCACATGTTTTTATTGATTTTTATTATCAAGTAACCTTGGTAAACAGGTTTCAAGTTTTCAAGTTTTTATGGCAAATTTGAAAGCATTTTTTTTATACCTCACTTTTTATAAATATGATTAGAGGTCATATTGTTTGGTCTATGCATTCGAAACAATTTAACAGAAGAAATTGATCTATTATTTTGAAACCCTATTTCCCAATGTGTAGGGGTAAAATATTTCAAGTGCACAGATATTGTTTGACCAATTGACTTCTCTAGGTCATAAACATGCTTCTCTTAAATTTGTCACAAGTTCAGTTTTACAAGCAAAAACACTTTATTTACTCATTATTAGTGCAACAAAAATTAATCAATAGCTTCTAAGGCTACCACCATATCATTTCAAAAACAACCGCAATGATCTTTTTCTTTTTTTTCTTTTATAGTTTTCCAGGTTTAAAAAAAACATTGAGTTATTCCCCACCTCATTAATTCTATCTTAAATGATAGATAATTTATTAGAAAACGATATATATCTTCAAAATTCACAATATTTTATGACTAAATATTCAAAGAAATATTTGGAATAACATAATTTCAAGTTGAATACATATTACAACTTAAAAGAAAACCTACCTGATGCATTTAATTTTTGGGCCTGAGAAACTATTAATTTTTTTTTAGCCTTAATGAAACCTGTATGCAACATTTATGTCCTATGGACTTGTATTTCTTTTAAACTGTGTCAAATACAACACACATCCATCTTTGAGATAAGATGTTCCAAAAAATACTGGTAACCACATTGTATAATGTGCTCATCGATACTGTTTAACATTTTATTCTTATTATTTCACAAATGCAACCTATTTTTGCAACATTATTAATGTGTGTGAAAAAATCATTACTTGCCTATATCCTGACCACATTATGAAACTTTTTTTTTTATTATATTGTGAACATTTTTGGTAAAGTCCTTTCACAGGATTTTTGAACGAATGTTATCAGTTCTTATTTTCTTGTTTTTACACATAATTATTGTTCCAGCTATTCCAGAAAAAATGTAGTTGGTTGTGGGGGAGGGGGCTAGAAGGCACTTAATACATTTTTTTAGGTAGTAAAGTATACAAATTACTTTCATTTGAAATTTACAGACAGCATACAATGTTCCATCTCAAACACATCACATCGTACAATTTTTGTAGTGAGTATCATTAACTTTGACGAGCGCTATCTATTCAACCTGTAGCAGAAAAAACGCAATTTTTTTATTTTGAATTTAGATGAATGGTGCTATATCAAAAGAATTTCCAATTCAATGTAATGCTGATTGGGGGGAAAAACAATTAACAATACAAGTGGTTAGGTAAAATTAAAAGTGCCTTTTAAACTTTCCATATTACATTTTTTACCTGGAATAGCTCAATGTCAAATTGAAATGACATTACTGAAATAAAAGAATGCAAAATTTGTATATCTCTTCTCATTTGATGTTCTGACTGAAACTTTACAAAATGCACAATTCAAGTACTAACAGGCGAACTAGTTTACATACATTTTACTCTTAATATTTCATTTAAATTGTGCATTTATTTTTAGTTACATTTCATTTTAGATTTTGGGCATCACTTTTCCCATAACTACATTTTTAGTTTACCACAGCAGAAAGCTCAAGTGAGCTTTTATCGATTGTCTGTTGCTGTAAATGTAAACTTTTTAGTTTCATCTTCTTGATATTGCAACAATTTCTTGAAAAATGAATGACATATACATATTTTAAAATTCTTCTAAAGAACCTCTGTACCATCAAAGATGACTTTGATATTCTCTGGTAGTATAGATTAAAATTTCTTACAAGCTTTACCCCTGAGAGAAGGCAGGCCAAAATGGAAGATAAAGGTTTCACATGTGCAATACCTTCTCAAGCACAGCAAAACAAGAATTAATCATATTTATATGCAAGCATCCTCGATTGTATACTTTCAGTTATCTTTGCAAAATTGACTTCCAATCGAGTGAATTTCTGTCCTCAACATGAGAAGCTATCATGCCTAGATCTCGTAAACGGAAAGAGATTAACAAACAAAACCTGTAAAATTGTTAGATCTTGATGAGTACGCAGAACCACCGGGGATAAGATTGTCCGCCGTCACTTCCAGTCGTCACAGGAAGTGATCAAACAAAGTGAAAATACAACTTGTCTCTTCTGAAACTTTTTTTGCATCACATTATAGCATCTTATTTGTAGTTTCAAGATGTATCAGTACCACCGGTAAAAAAAAACGTAAACTTCCGGATATAAGAGAAAAACTACGTAATTTGAGTACATTTCTTTCCCATAAATACTTTTTTAGATAAAATATTTTTGAATATGTTATTCAGACTGCAAATGTCTACAGAAACTTCAAATATATTTTTTAAAATATTCACTTCCGGTTGCCTGATTTCCTGTCCTCAAAATGAGAAGTTATCATAGCTACATCTCGTAAACGGTAAGAAATTAAGACACCAAACTTATAGGATTGGTAGATCTTGATGAGTAGGCAAATCCACTTTGGTTAACATTTTCCGCCGTCACTTCCGGTTGTCACACGAAGTGATGGAATAAATCAAATATTGAAACATTTCTTTATAGAATCTTCTTAGTCAAACATTTAAAAAAATAAAACTGATTTTTGTAAATGTTATTGAGACTTTAATAGTTTAAACTTACATCAATAATCTTGGTAAGTTACACCTCCTGTCGTTCGTTTTCCCGAAATCAATTAAAAAAATCATGTGCCTTTTTTAACATATATAAAAGTTCATTCATGCAGATCAATAGAGGAGAACGGAAGACCTTCTTTGTTGCTTTAGCAACAAGAGTTTCTAGTTATTAAGTCTTCCGTTCACAACGGAAGACTTATAGTGATTGTATTGTTTCTTTTTATTATTATTATTATTATTATTATTCCTCCCAAATTTTGTGAGCGCGATTACTCAGAGATGGTTGGATAGATTTTCACAATTTTTCACATGAAAGTAGGCTGATATATGAAGTTTATATAAAATTCCGTTTTTTGAAAAATTCACTTCCGGTCCGAAGTTATGGCCGAATTTCCAATTTTTAAATGGACTTTTGTCCGGCGTTTTTCTCAGAAACGGTTTGAGGTAAAGATGTGAAATTTACAGGA